AAATTTGAAAACTCTGAAAAACATTCATGTCCAAACTTTTTTCTTGATTTTGATCTAAAAAGAAAATATGAGAGGAAAATAAACTATATGTTTCAAAATAAACAAACCAATCAAATAAAAATTAATAAAAATAAATGTGTTAAGTACAAAGCAGTGTAATCATTCAGAAACATACTTAGTATCATCAACAAAACCTTGCAAAATATCGACATGTTGCTAAGGTTAAGTTTCTTAGCCCGATATTTTCTATTCATGAACCGAACAATTAAAATGAATGATTAATTTATTTTTTGAGAAAATATATGCCTACATCGGTGTAAAAAAGAACTTTTAATTAATTTATCATATCTTATATACGTATTGATTTTATTTGAGTACAAAATGTCGTGCAGGCAATATTCTCATTTTCTATGTTCATGCAACTAAACGGCATCTCTTAAATACGATCGGGTATCACAGGAGATAAATCAATATCATAATTATTGTTTTTGTGATTCAGACACGTAGATGTGAACACCAGTGTATTGAATGAATAACTATATTAATTTTTCATCAGCAATCGATCATTTTGTACATCTAGCATGACTGGTTGATAAATTTTCTTGTCATTTCATATCAATATTCAGCAAAAGAGTGAGAGGTGTATATTTGATTGAATTTGTAATTTTTATCGAAAATTATGTACAATGGTTAAATAAAAATTAGCTGTGACTATAGATACAGAACTTTGGGGATAACAAAACAATTAATAGATTCAATTTCTTGGAAGTTTCTTATTTGGTGACCTATATCACATGTTTGCATTACTGTGAAAGAGATAATATGTTGACACCTACGACCGGTAGGGCGAGCGTTAATACTTAATACAGTATTCCGTTTTAATTAAGGTCGGGCTCGTCCAACCGCACATGACATTTAGTGCGTCCATTAGAATACAATTTATTTACTATTTATCTATATTGATCTATATTATTTACTTATTCATTTCAACAAGGCGATTATTTTTTTGTTGTTGTTGAACTTTTACCTTGTCCTACGTCCGTCTGTCTGTGCAAACGTGTCCGGTCCATATCTTTCTTACGGAGGGACATTAGAATCTACTACTCCATACAAAGATTGCTCATGACCTAGGGGTGTGTCATGACCTTGATCCAAGGTCATTTGGGTAAGTTCAAGGTCACTGGAAGAAAAAGTTCATAATTCGTGTCCGGTCCATATCTTTCTTATGGATAAACTTGGTAGGTTCTCATTTCACACAAAGATTGCCCATGATCCAAGGGTGTGTCATGACCTTGACCCAAGGTCATTTGGGGAAGTTCAAGGTCACTGGAAGAAAAAGTTCATAATTCGTGTCCGGTCTACATCTTTTTTATGGATAAACTTGGTAGGTTCTCATTTCATGCAAAGATTGCCCATGACCCAAGGGTGTGTCATGACCTTGACCCAAGGTCACTTGAGGAAGTTCAAGGTCACTGGAAGAAAAAGTTCATAATTCGTGTCCGGTCCATATCCTTCTTATGGATAAACTTGGTAGGTTCTCATTTCATGCAAAGATTGCCCATGACCCAAGGGTGTGTCATGTCCTTGACCCAAGGTCATTTGGGGAAGTTCAAGGTCACTGGAAGAAAAATTTCATAATTTGTGTCCGGTCCATATCTTTCTTATGGATAAATTTGGTAGGTTCTCAAATCACACAAAGATTGCCCTTGACCCAAGGGTGTGTCATGACCTTGACCCAAGTTCATTTGGGGAAGTTCAAGGTCTCTGGAAGAAAACGTTCATAATTCATGTCCGGTCTACATCTTTTTTATGGATAAACTTGGTAGGTTCTCATTCTACACAAGGATTGCCCATGACCAAAGGGTTTGTCATGACCTTGACCCAAGGTAATTTGGGGAAGTTCAAGGTCATTGGAAGAAAAATTTCATAATTCATGTGTGATACATATCTTTATTATGGAAAAACTTACTTCTGAAAAAAACCCAGCGGGGGGTATTTTGTCCCGTTTGGACAGTTCTAGTTCATTTCATCAACGGGATTTAATTTTTGTTGAACATTTATTGTTATTCTCGCGAGAACGTAACTTAAAAAATCGATGCACTGTGGGTGCAGAAAAACTCGTTTGGATCAATGTGTACGTCCGAAATGTCTCTTTGCCTAGGCGTTGTCGTTAGAGGTCGCTGTACTCGCTATAATGTATAATCTCCTTGTAGCGAAGTTTGGGACACATGCACTTGTTTCCGAATTAAATTTTAAACCCATAGTAAAATAATAACATAAGGTATCTAACTCCGAATTACAATGAGTACCTCCTCCTCGGAAACGCACTCAGAGGATATGCATTTACATATTGTTTATAACCATTATCTTCTACGATAATTTATCTACACAACCATTTATGGCATGCATGTCTTTGTTTTCTTTCATCTCCATCAGCATCAAAACTCTGCTCGCCTAGTGGAAAAAGTTGAATTCAACCATGACGGACAAAGAGCAATATTTAAAAACAAGAGGCCCAGGGGCCACAGCGCTCACCTGAGCACATCGACTAGGAAAAAGCACATATCAGATCAGAACTGAAAGTTTACTTGGGGGGGGGGCTTGAATTTTAACCCCCCAAGGGGTCATGATTTGAACAAACTAGAATCTACACTACCTGAGAATGATTCCATTCAAATAGAAAAATATCACTAATCATGGCTTTGAAGTACTTGAAAAGAAAATTTTAAAAGGTTTCCCTATATATCCTTATGTAAAACTTTGGTCGGCCATTTTGGCCCCACCCTAGCCCCGGGGGTCATGATTTGAACAAACTTGAATCTACACTACCTGAGGATGATTCCACATGAGTTTCATCTTTCCTGACCCAGTGGTTCTTGAGAAGAAGATTTTTAAAGATATTTCCTATATATTCCTATGTAAAACTTTGGTCGGCCATTTTGGACCCACCCTAGCCCCAGGGGTCATGATTTGAACAAACTAGAATCTACACTACCTGAGGATGATTCCACATGAGTTTCATCTTTCCTGACCCAGTGGTTCTTGAGAAGAAGATTTTTAAAGATTTTTCATATATATTCCTATTTAAAACTTTGGTCGGCCATTTTGGACCCACCCTAGCCCCAGGGGTCATGATTTGATTAAACTTGAATCTACACTACCTGAGGATGATTCCACAAGAGTTCCATCTTTCCTGGCCCTCTGGTTCTTGAGAAAAAGATTTTTAAAGATTTTTCCTATATATTCCTTTGTAAAACTTTAGTCGGCCATTTTGGACCCCGCCTAGCCCCAGGGGTCATGATTTGAAGAAGTTAGAATCTAAACTACCTGAGGATGATTCCACATGAGTTTCATCTTTCCTGACCCAGTGGTTCTTGAGAAAAAGATTATTAAAGATTTTTCCTTTACATTCCTATGTAAAACTTTGGTCGGCCATTTTGGACCCACCCTAGCCCCGAGGGTCATGATTTGAATAAACTTGAGTCTACACTACCTGAGGATGATTCCACATGAGTTTCATCATTCCTGTCTCAATGGTTCTTGAGAAGAAGATTTTTAAAGATTTTTCTTTTATATTCCTATGTAAAATTTTGATCGGCCATTTTGGCCACACCCTACCCCGGGGGGTTATGATTTGAACAAACTTTAATTTACACTACCTGAGGATGATTCCACATGAGTTTCATTTTTCTTAGCCCAGTGGTTCTTGAGAAAAAGATTTTTAAAGATTTTTCCTATATATTCCTATGTAAAACTTTGGTCGGCCATTTTGGACCCACCGTAGACCCAGGGGTCATGATTTAAACAAACTTGAATCTACACTACCTGAGGATGATTCCACATGAGTTTCATCTTTCCTGGCCCTCTGGTTCTTGAGAAAAAGATTTTTAAAGATTTTTCCTATATATTCCTATGAAAAACTTTGGTCGGCCATTTTGGACCCACCCTAGCCCCGGGGGTCATGATTTGAATAAACTTGAATCTACACTACCTGAGGATGATTCCACATGAGTTTCATCTTTCCTGGCCCAGTGGTTCTTAGAAGAAGATTTTTTAAAAATGCCATTAATTTTTCTCTAATTCATAATTATCTCCCCTTGGAAAAGGGCGTGGCCCTTCATTTGGAGAAACTTGAATCCCCTTTACCCAAGGATACTTTGTAGCAAGTTTGGTTGAAATTGGACCTGTGGTTCTTGAGAAGAAGATGAAAATGTGAAAAGTTAACGACGACGACGACAACGAAGACGACGACAACGACGACGACAGACAACGGACAAATTTTGATCAGAAAAGCTCACTTGAGCCTTCGGCTCAGGTGAGCTAAAAATGAGTGGGTTAAAAATTCATTTCCCGATTTTAAATATTGCATTGAATAAATAGAATTTAATTAGATTTAGGTCTCATTTTCAATAAAAACATTAAGACATTTTTTTAAATTTTAATTTCAAAAACAGATTTTTAGCAAATCACTGTGCGGAAATACATGTACCTGTACCACATCTTTGATTGGACAGCAGTTTGTCTAGTCCCCTACGTAATATCTAGTTACCTGTGTCATGACAATGGTCTCACCCAATCAGCTGCCGAGGGTAGCAAATGGAAGAATTGATAGAAGGGAAAGATTGATTGTATGTTGTATAACATCCATCTCGAGATTTTTTCACACATATGGAGACGCCACCACTTGCTGGTGGAGAGCTAAAAATTTTGTCCTATACTCGGCACTTAGGGCCATTGAGCAGCGAGGGATCTTTTTGTGCCAGCACCTACTGCGACCCGGGATCTCGGTTTATACGGTCTCATCCGAAGGACAGGTCTCCACGTCCCACAATGGGATTCGAACCCGCGACGTTTGGATTGACTCCTTACTTCGCAACTCTAGAGCAGACGCTCTAACCACTGCGTCACGCGGGGAAGGGAAGGAAAACTCAGAATAGCTTACATTATAACTGTTATAGTATCAAGTTGTGTAAGAAATACCATTAAGAAAAACATTAAAATTAGTAAAAGAATTTATTTGCTGAGCAATATCACAGGCTATATGAAGTCAATAGTTTGAAATACTGATAACATTTTAAAGTATTTAAATCTCATCTCCAATAGAAATCATCCATAATTACCAAAAGCTGTTCTTTAGTGAATACTAGATTCTTCTAAGAATTAAAAAAAATGATCACAGAAAATACTTTCAACCTGAAAAAAAATTAAGTCCTGCGAGCTAGGTCCTTTTAAAATGGTGGAATATACCTCCAAAAGCTTCGCAGACGGGAGTCATGCAGCAGTTGACACACATGGAATACAGTCGCTGACAGACGCCGCAGTTGATTTCCAGAACCTTAAACATGGGGGTGATGTACCAGATATGCCAGAAGGCGATGTAGGCGAACTCACAGCCCCACTCCGCGGCGATGCAGCAGCCACATAACAGGGTCATTATTTTGTAGCAGCAACCCTTCCAACACTCAAAGCAGAAGCGAGACAGCTTCCAAACGCAGTCGATACTGTGAGTACCATCCGGCTCGCCGATTACGTCATTAAAAAGGAGGGTCTGAAAAAAGATTAATCTCCAAATCAAATTTGAAAATTGGTGGATTACATAATATTTGCTACATCTAAAAAAAGTAAAGCCTACACATTTTCCTCGAACTCTCCAAGTTTTTAAATACCTTTACAATGTTTCAAAACACAAGCAGCTACATTTTTGATGGATAAAACCAAAGGTGTTCCGTTCCACGGCTGACACCTCAGTTCATCTAGCAGAGATTGCCAGGCGTCCTTTTTTCAGAATGTGCATATCTAACAACATATACACATACATATATACGCCTCAGGTTATAGGTTATACGGTAAACTATTGATTTTCCAGTTTGCTGTATTCAAAAGTCAAATGACAGCCTCCAAAATGATTAAAATCGGATACGTTTTTCTGGTAGGGAATCTGATATCGACACTCTATCCCTGACTTATTAGGTATTCATACTTTGCAATGATGCTATGGCCATACAATCATGTATATCTATTATCTAAATTTGCAAAAAATTCATCGACTTTTGATAGAAGTATCAGTCTGGGACTTGCTAATTCCACATTTACTACTAGTATGTGAAAAGAAGCCAACATACTGTTGGTATGTTGGTTTTAAATTTAAAATAGGCCAAAGGATATATCAACAATTAGACGTCTTCTTTTTGCTTCAATTTCCGACATACCTTTAGATGAGACCTAAGGACATACGCAAGGTACCTTACCTTCTGATATTTTTTTCCAAGGTATTCTAAATTTAAGATTTTAGTGCCATCATTTGTTCATAGACAAAATATCAGCATGCATTACCAGGGGGTTTTGGAAGATATAAAATTTTGAAAGTTTTGCATGTTTCAAAGAAAAATGTACAGAAATTACAAAACATAAATTCCAGATTTTTTTCCATAAAAAATTGTTTCAAATCTATATATAGACGTTTAAAGTATTGTACACAGGCCCTTCATATAGTGGAACTCTTCAGCTCCAGGGAAGAGTCCAAAAAAGTTCAAAGTATGTTGCGTATACTTGATTGGTTATTTGTTTTTTATTTTTTTTCACTCATTTAAAGACGTCGGTACTCAAAGAAATAAGGTCAAAAGCTCTTATCCTAAACAGTTAAAGGATTTGACAATATTTTAGACATATAGTACATTGTATAATTAAAGTTGTTTTAATTTCTTATAATTCGAAATAACTTTATTTTGCATCAACATCTTTTCCTTGCAAAAGTTTCACTCAATGCAAACATTTTGAAATTCTTAAATTATATAGAACAATAAAAAATACTTTTAGAGGTTTTTTCCCCAGTTTTATTTACTTATTTAATACTTATCTCGCGAAAAAAGCGCCAAAATATAATGGTGCATTGTAATTTGCATTGCCTCGATTAATTCATGCATGCTTTAAGATATATTTAACATTTTTTCTTGCATGCAAATTTCATCTCTTCAGCTATATAAATGTACATACACTAGGTTCAATTAATTAAAATCAAACAGTTGCATTTAAAATGTTTAGCATAATCCAAACAAGTTGATTCTGACAGCTGAAATCTGAGAAGTTTGAGCCAAGAGCCAGAAGACCTTATTTATAAGTGAACTTACCCCAAGATGACTGTTAAGGTTATTGGGATCTCTGTTTGTCATATCCATATCCGCCATTTCTATCTTTAAAAAAGAAAATTGTCCGAAGAAATAATTTTTAAACTAGATGTATAAGCTGTACAGTTATAGCAGTATCCTCTCAAAGACGTGAGAAGAGAGTCGTGCGTTTAATTCCTTTCCCAAGCAAAAATAACGGAAAACCGAAGTAAACTACTAGAATATTTACAAAAGCAGCCTGGCTACCAAGGAAAAGTCTTTGAACTTTAACGTAAAAAAAAACATCGGATTGATTTTTTTCTATTAATGATACTGTTTTCAGTCATTACTTGGAGACTGTTGCCAAAACAAAAATGAAATCCTTCATCCTTTAGATGACGCAGTGTTGCTTCAAGCGCGAGTATATACTCCGTAGTTTGTAGGAATGGTGAAATGTCGTTTTCAAAGCAGAAAAGAAACGGATGAATGCATTATTGAATGTTTTTGAATTGTCCCAGTTCCTAAAAAAATGACAATAATTGGCTGAGATTACACTTGACATGTCGGTTAGGCAGTTCTGCAAGATTAAAATCTTCAACATCGATCCCATTTCCCAGCGTTACTAATTGTATCAGGTTTTTAAATATTTTTAATATTTCCACGCATATATAATTATGATATACTTCTTCGTTTCGATATAAATCAGGCTTTGATAAATTCCTGCACTACTAGATTAATTTAAAACCATATTATAAACCTAATGCCTCCAATTTTGTTATAATATAGTTTGAAAAAAAAAACTCGGCCCTGTTACGTTGATGTTAATTAGGTCAATATTTTAAAAAAATTATTGGACCAGGTTCACTGCTCCAACAGACTCTTGTCCCCAGATTCCTGGTCAAGTGAGGGATCTTTTTGTGCCAGCATCTATTGGGACATTGGCCCTTGGTTTACACGGTCTCATTCGAAGGATCAGTCTTCACGTCCCACAAAGGGATTCAAACCCGCAACATTAGGATCAACTTCCTTACTTTTGACAAAATAATGAGTGGAGTGTTGTTGTTGATCCAATTTTTTTTTTACAAAATGCAAAGTGCAACGCGTCTTGGTTGGTGGGGGGAGGGGGGGCATAACATTGATACCTAATTTGGGGTAGTAAAGTTTAATAAAAGGTATTAAATTGTTTTTCAGCTCTACTTATTTCTTTAACAAAATTATAGGGGGAGGGGGTGTCTATTTTTAACAAAAATCAAATTGCATAGCATTTAAGTTGGGAATGGGGTGGGGGTCATAATATGCATACGTAATTGGGCAGTTTCCCTTATACCAAGTAGAAACATATCACGCATGCTACATGTACAAGTCTCAATAATTTTAATTATTTACCAACCTAATTAGTATATTTCACAGTTCCAGGCAATACGGATTTTTTTCGTAATGAAAAATAACAATGTACATCGAGAGTTTATTTGAACTTGTGGCACAGGCGTCGGGCCCGTCCCCCCCCCCCCCCCACACACACACACACACACACTTTCAATTTAACTTGCATCCCAAATTCCGTGGAGTTTGGTAATCAAACCGCGACGTTCATCAAATTCTACTAATCTGGTTCCCACAGACTCGACACGGTTTTTAAACTGGTTCCCTAGCGGAAATTATTGTCAACTCGTACATAAATGTGAGGGTTTTGAGACAGTGAAAACGCGATATCTAAAGAAGTATTTCATCAATGAACTTGAAAATTAATAGGCTTCTTCCTTTTATACTGCCACGCAAGTATGTAAACGCTGAGAGTGGTTAATGCAAAGGTTCTCTGTCAATCTTGCCCACAAATGATAATTGTCAACTCGTACATAAAATGTCAGTGTTTCGAGGCAGTAAAAACGCGATATCTGAAGAAATATTTCATCAATGGACTTGAAAATTAATAGGCTTCGTCCTTTTATACTGCCACACAAGTATGTAAACGCTGAGAAAGGTTAATGCAATGGTTCTCTGTCAATCTTGCCCACAAGGTAACGAACACACTAACACACTAACACACACACATACATACGCACATTCGCGATGCTATATCCCCTTCGCAACTAGTTGCGCGAGGGGATAATAAGATTACATGACTGAATCAGCAAGATGATGCATGTAGAACACCATAAGGTTAGTATGCGAGATACGAGCCTTTCGAGGAGCTCTGATTGATCATAAATAAATATATACTTTTTACTTGAAAATTATAAGTCTTACTTTAGATGCAAAATGAATACAAAATTGTGAATATAAGAACAATTGGGTCAATTGTAAGCAATTAAAAAAATATTTATAGGAGCAAAGACTTGCAGGGATGGGGTAGAGAATTTATAACTGTTGAAGGCTTCCGCAATATAGAAAATGGTATTTTAAAAAAGCAAATTTTATAACCAATTCCAACATGCACGCAAGGATTTTAAACCTTTATAAAGAATGAATCTTGACCTGAATACCGAGCGACTCTCGAGATTGATTTACACCCCATTAAATACAAATATCCATGTACCCAAACTTTGAAGGAGATTTTTTATTACGTTTATTACTATGATAATTTCGTATCTATACCTACAGACTAAATGTTTGTGCCGTAAATATTTTTGGTGTGATAAATATAATATTTATAACAAAAAAATGTCCGAGTTTTAAAGTGCTCTGTATGTGTTAAATAAAGGAAGCTTAAGAACTACTGAAATTTAGGACTTTGAGATTTTGTCACCAATAGGACATATATTACATATTGGGTTTATCTGGTTCATTTTAAAATACATGCCTTTTCTCTGGAAAATATTACAGCGTTCAGTGTATAGATGTGACCACAAATCATTTCAACCTTGGAAAATTAAAACCAATAATGTATTCTGTAACTGAATCTTGGTTTTATATAATGTCTCATCACTGTAGATTCACCATTTCTAGCTATACGCACATGTAAAACATTTAGGGACAGATTTTTCTAACGTCTGTCCTTTCTTAAATATTTTATCAAAAAACTCTACTGTAACAATAAAGATAGTCATATTGATGAGTTTATCTGATTAAATAAATATTGCATAAAGGACACAATTTTAAGTGAGCAATTAAGTTTAAATATTCCTTATAACAGCTTATTTTTTAACATTTAAGTACATTTTGAATTAAATTATACAGTTACCTACTCAATTTTTATTAATTAATTATAAGTCATAGCGGCTTTAAATATCCATTCTAATTTTTTTATACAAACTAGTATCCCAATCACAGATTTGTTCATTTTTTGGGAAATGACTTAGAATTCAATAACTGTTTTAGCATACAGTACTTAATTAAAAGAACATACAATGTAAGTCATTTTTAAAGAAGAAAAATTTGATTGTAATGTATTTTATCGTTTAAAATGTACAAATAAATTCCCACAAGCTTCGCAAATAGGAATTAGCCAGCAGTTTATACACAAAGCGTAAATCTTCTGACAAGACACACAGTTAATTTCCAGAGTCCGTAAGACCGGTGTTTGATACCAAATGTGCCAAAATGCCACACAGGCAAATTCAGATCCCCAGTACGAAGCCATACAGAGGCCACAGGTCAAGGTCATCATCTTGTAGAGACAACTTCTCCAGAACAGGAAGCATAGATTCGTACACCACCAGACGCCATCTATACTCCGAATACCGTCCGGCTCGGCAAGTATATCCTCAAAGGCCACCTAATATGGGAAATATAAAATTTTCATCATGTAAGCACCTAACGTGACACTGTTCCTTGGTTTGTGAGGTCAGAGAGACCTGTGGCTTCCTTAAAACATTGGCTTTTACCATTTCCAGGTTAATTAGGACTTTCAGTAAAGCGTGGCATTCTTGGCGCTACTTAATTACACCATGTATATCCCAACATGCGGGGCGTATGCTATGTTGTGCGCGGGGTGTATGCTTCCGAAGCGAGAGAAAGGGGGTCAATGTACGCTCTTTGTCCATTTTCTCAATTTACGGATATTTTTCGCCAAAAAATATGCCTACGGAAGAAAGCATTATCTAAGGAAATATGGATACCTATAATCCACTGGACACCTTCTAGTTTCATCAAACACCTCAACACAATTCCGAGATTTTAGCAAGATTGACACAACACTGTGTTTATGATCGAATATCAGAACAAAGCTTTGCTTTATCGTCACTTTTATATTATTGTTAAATACATGTTTACAATATAAACGTTTGTACAAATTGTCTGTAAATAAAACAGTTCGTATATAAAGATATTGACGAAAAATCAATGTTGTGTCCGGGGTGTATGCAACATGTTGTACGCGGGGTGTATACACCCCATATTTTTCTTAAAGTATATAAGTTTTATTTACATAGGTTCAAAAGCGACAAATAGTGTTGATAAAAGATCTTAATACTAATGCCAAACAAAAAAGTAATTTCCATAAACGTACTGAAGTAAAAAACAAATTAACTAAATTAAAAAAAAATTAAAAACAAACTATCATATTCAAGCATAAAAGACGCTAGATGTACAAGGAGCGATGGTTATCTACATTGTAGATGGCGCAGTGGTCTAAAAAAAAATCTCCAAAGGGGGCCCTCCCCCCTCCTTAATCCCTTCATTGAAGACACTTTGCCCTTTCTTCGGCTCTTTTTAATCTAGCTTGTTAAAAATAATAAAAACACTACATGAATGGTGTATTATGAATAAATCTTTTTATTTTTGTTTCTGCAACATTTATGGTATCAATACATGTATTTTTAAGCATTTATGACAGTGATGTAGAATCTTTTTTGAAGAGGGGATACCCGAAAAAAACCTTGAGATAAGTGGACTTGCTATAAAAAGGGGGAAGCGCTTATCGAACTCAAAACTCCTAGATCAGATGGGGTTGTAGGTATCGTCTTTTTTCAGTACCAATTCTCTCTTTGTTTTTCACTTAAACATAAAGCATATATGGTTATGCTGCAACAAAAAAAGTCCAACCTTTTAACATTTTCTGTAGTGAAAAGTTGTGTCTGGAACAAAAAGGGGGGTGATATTACGTGTCTGTAATATATTAATTTTCCTTTCAATTTTTGCAATATTTGGACTATTTTTTGGGTTTATCTGATAAGATTTCGTATTTTACAAATTACAATAAACATGTAAAGCCGGCTATAAAAATGCACATTTGTAATAAGGGACGACAATTTTCTGAGGGCATGCATAATTGAAAAAAAAACAAACTGTTTTTGGTACAATTACAATTTCACGTTGACTTGTAATTAATATCAATGAATGTCCACTCCTCCTTTATTTTATTATTGTATATACACGTATTAAAGATACCCCCCCCCCCCCCAAAAAAAAATGACCTAAGACACAAACACACCCTCCTCGGGCCCATTCCTAGAAAATATGTACTCAGTACAATACAATGCCTCAATATTAAACAAATAGTTTGCTGCCAAATATGGGCTTATGGGGCCAAAGTACACAACGTAAACTATTACGTATTACTATTACGCACACTACA